AGGGGGGTCTGAGTTTTGTAGGGGAAGGAAAAAATGTGTAGCATATTATACTTACATGTATGTATAATACCTGTTAATTTCAATAAAAAATAGAAAACAAATCTTTGTTACAGTGAGTGAAACTGACATAGTAGAGACATGGTAGTCTGAGATGCAGCAGCTTTGTTGTTTTTTTTTCCACATATCTGTGTCACTGCTGAGTTGAGAATAGTGGACAAACAAAAACATTCATGCAGTAGTGGCCCTTTGGTCAAGAAGTGACCACTGAGGAAGGGCTTGGGGATGACTAACACATATTGTGCAGAAAAAGATGAGCTATAGTCTCTAACCTTACTTCTAAAAGGTGAACCAGCCAGCACTGCCGTATATAATCGAATAGACAGCACACAAGCACAGCGTTCACTAATATATCACTACCATGTCTGTATCGCTGCTGTGTTGAGAATGATTCACCCCCCAAATAATACAGTGTGTGCTCATACGATGGTCTCTTTCCATTGATGGAGGGGGGCTGATAAATCGTGCAGCAACAGAGAGGCTACAGTCAGTAACTGTAAACCTGCAAAGTGCACTTATATGGTAGGTGTTTTTGATAAAATGGCCAATGAATGTACGTACAAGGTAGATGCACCTAAAAAGTGGCAACAAAAAAGTCCATAAGTTATGCAGTTATGAGAGAGAGAGGATCTAAAGTGTGGCCCACATAGAAGTCCTTGGGGTTTAAGGTGTTAACACACATTATCTTTACTCTTCTTTGCTTCTTCCATTTGCTGCCCTTTCTCCCACACGACGGACTGCCCATGCATGCCAATTTAGTGCTGAAGAACATTTATCAGTGCTGTTGTCAGGTCAGTGCACTCCTGTGTGAAACGTCTAGGGACTGTCACTCTTTTTTTCTCTCTGCAGCATTCTCCAGCTAAGCATCAATCTTTCAAACATAATCGCTTAACTATTAACGCTAATGGTCTGAGGCTTAAGCTCCAGTGGAAGAAACCTGTTGTTAGATAACAGACTGCACAGTTACTCTGTTATAAAAGCATCAACAGGAGAACAGACTCCCTGCTTTTCTGTTTGTGCTTACCACAGCCCAAAGCTGAGCTATAGGTGGGGCCCAGGGTTGGGCCTTTAGATTAAATGAGATAATGCGCTGTGACGGATATTATGCTGAAATCTGGGCACACCAGCAGGGTTGTGCATCTATGAATAAATGAGGGGAAAAATCATGAATATGTTGTAGATTCCCTTTGAAATTCAGAATCTCTTTATTTTATGAGTAACCATAGTCTATCTAGAATCCTCAACAAAGGAAAGTACTTTAGGAAACTGCATTTATATTTATGTGCAAATGTACCGTGCCAGTCAAAAGTTTGCACACACCTGACTGCATGCATGATAATCTTAAACATTTTTTCTTAACACTTAAGTGCCTAAATAATTGAAATACTTAGCTTCCTAAGACAAATGTAAACAGTAGAACTGAAGCCCAGGTTTGCTTTTTAAAGGCTCGTTCTAAAACATAGTTCTTAGCAGCCAGTAAAGCCTCAGCATATGTGAATCTTCCTCAAGACTGTTGAAAAAGCATCCCAGGTGGCTCCTCATGAAGCTGCTTGAGAGGATGCCAGGAGTGTGTAAAGCTGCATCAAGGCAAAGGGAGGCTACTTTAAACCATCTAAAATGGAAAATGGAAGAAGTTTTTTTGGTCAATGGATAATTACTTGCATTTTACTTCATAGTTCTGGTGTCTTCACTATTGATCTAAAATAGGGAAAACTCTTCATTGACAGGTATTGTATAATTCCTAGGGCTGCCATGATCGCTTGGATAAAATTGAACATACAATTTTAAAAAATCATATTAAAATTTATGTTCTCAATGAATCGGTTTAGTGATTAGTCCTCAATTTGAATGATAAACAGGGTATCTGCAGATCATTATAAAGCCAAGTTTAGCAGGCTGAAGATTCTCCACAAGGGGGAGAATTAGCACTCGAGTTGCTTTTGTGTGCATAACCGAAAAAGAGGAAACCCACACCAGCAGGTTCTCATAAATGCATTTATGTTTGTAGTCAAAAATTTCAAGTAAATTAAATTGAAATGCTGTTACTAGCTTTGGATACATGAAGTAAAAGGTTAAGTCCAGCTGAACAGTTTGGCTAACAGACAAACAAGCTCCAGTAATATCAAAAGTTAGGCTTTATCATATACCATAATAGAATTTGTGACAAATTGAAAAGCATTCACTCCAGTATAAAATCGTGAAATGCAGTGCACACAATACATTACTTTTCCATAGTGACATAAAAAATACTTTGCCAAATATTTTAAAATATAACATCTATTACACTGAAAAACACTGAAAAACAGTGCATGCGGATTTACATTTTAAAAAACAAAGTGCTGAATTTGTGTCAGAATTGAATGCAATCCACCTTGAAATGTAGTGAAGGCATGGCTCTATTGCTTAACACTGTACAGTACAGTAAAACACTTAAATCAATGTAATGGATCTTCACTTTTCATTGTGGCACATTTTCTGCATGTTACTGTTTACATGCAGTGCACATCTAATAGAGGGTTTGTTTTTCATTTTGGCACATATTCTGCATGTCACTATGGAAAAGTAATGTCATGTGTGCATTGCATTTGACGTTTGTCCACTGTAGTAATTGCTTTTCAATTTGGCACAAGTTCCTCTGCATATTACCAAAGGATTTACAATCTTGAAATGCTTCAGATATCCATGTTTAAGTAGAACTGATCTAGGTAGTATTGAACATGTGTGATAAGTGAATGTACGGCCCTAACAAAACACTGAAATTCCCATAGAAACGTAAATCAGATGTTAGTAGTGATACTCAGACTACTTATACAGTCGTATGCTAAAGTTTGGGTGATCCTGGTAAAATTCCATGTAATGTTGATGTTGTAAGTGAAAATAAGTTAATACAAAAAAAAATGTAGACTGTGCAAAACATGGCACATTTAATTTGTCTTATTTTTGTTCAATATGTTAAATTAAGCAAATAAACAAATTGTGCTGTAAAAGCAGCAGAAAATTGCCTATTTAAGTTTTTTCCATGTAGAGGATGTGTTTGCTTATTTTTGCTTAGAAAAACAACAGAACATGTAATTTGACAGAGGGTGTTCAAACCTTTGCCTATGACTGTAAAGTGAAGGTAGTGCCATAAAAGAACATATCTAAAATTAAAAAATAATCAAAATAATTGGTAGTTTATTTGTTTTCTAACAGAATAAATGGTGACAGGCCAAATAATACACACATACACATATACTAATGAACTTTCTATCATATTTCAGCATAACCATGCTAAACTGTGGTTTTTAGCACGACAACACGGGAGCCATTTTAAGAGGAGAACCTTCTTATTAAACTCATGTCCTACCTTATAAATTAGCAGCTCACCTCTGCCGGGCCTGTCCACTCTACAGTATGTCAGCTTCAGCTCTGTAATGAATCTATCACTGAGCAGTGTCCACAGCTTTGGCAGCTAATCGATAGCCCACTCTGGGCCTCTATAGGTCAGTGTCAGGGCACTGAGATGTTACTGCGGGGGCTCTGGTCCTGCTCTAATCTCGGCTCCTCCGGCGCAGTCCCCGAGAGGCAGTAAGGTTTGTCCACTATTGAAGAACAGCTGGGAGCGAGGCTCAACTGTCAGTGCTCAGCACACGCAGCACTGGAGAGTTATTACATTTTTAGACACACTTGCAAAACTGAAAAGCGAATGTCAGCAGATGAAGAAGAAGAAAATTCAAGACTAAATGTTTTTTTTTAAAAGTGCCCTAATCGCCTTTAAACAGAAGTTACATCATTCTTTTAGGGCTTGCTTTTGCTTTGTGTAGCTTTCCACACTGTGGACAGTGGTGAATGCAAATGAACTGAAGAAGTGATTTTTCATGTTTTCACATACACCTTTGTTTTGCATACAATAACCTTGGTGTTGAGGTGATGTTGCTGATGCTGCTGGCTCGCCATCTGGAAGCTGTAGTAAGCAGTGGCATATAAACATTAGTACGGGCTGTGGGAGGCAGGCTCCCTCTGCCTCGCCCTGCCTTGGTCCGTCTTCGTGCCCTTTCCCTTCACTGTATCTATGAGCTGATGGAGAACAAAGGAGTAGGATCAGCACTTTACATTATCTTATCATTGGTATTCTTTAAGCACAGCTTTAAAGAAATACTCCAGTGTTTTTCAGCATAGTCTCTATCTGCTGCATCTGTAACGTAAGCATCGAAGCAGCTGTCCTTTGGCTTCTACTTTAAGTATGAGTGGAGTTTCTGTTCTCTTCTAAGTACAGGGAAGCACTGAAATTATTGTCTGTGGTAATCTGCAATATATTGTTGCGGTCAAAAAAAAAGTTATTTTTCGGCATCATTTGAACACAGCAGCTGTCCTGTACATTGTATGAAAATGTTATAATAAACAGGTCAATAGAAATGATCCAAAATGACTTATATAATAACAATAAATGATAAATTTATATTAACTTTCACTGAAAATTAAGAATGCTTTTGCTTTCTCCTGTAAACTTACTATTTTTGGGGATAGATGTTTATTTTTTACAGTGACAACATGCTACAGATGTGGCAGATAGAGGTCAGTGTCTGCTCGCATAAAACATAAGTATTTAACTTATGTTAAATGTTTGGGAAAATCATTTTTAAAGCTGTAAATTTAAGGTTAAATTTTGCAACTGTCAGAAACTGAAGTGCTGAAACTTAAATTTGGGGTCTAACACTTAATTTACAGTTATTTACTTTTATACTATTTTTATTTTATAGTATGTTATACTTTCCACTTAAACATTTACCTGAAGAGACTTTATGCAGCTCACTTAACTTAAAGAGAAAACTCAAGATCAAAATTCACTTAGAAATGTTTTATGCAAGCAATCACAGGTTAAAAATTGCTGGAATATTCCTTTATGCTGGGGTGCTAGTTACTGTGAGGAGAAAATTATAACATTGCTCTTTTTTCTTGCATAGATGCAAAGCTCATATTCCCTCATGGGCAGTCGATGAATAAGGTAAGCTCCCATTCTCTGTTACATTAGAAGATCACAGGTGTTTATCTCATTATATCAGTGTAAGGCAGAGAGTTCTCCAGTTCGGTCCTGGAGGGCTGGTGTCCAGCACCTCCACTAAACCTGGCAATTAACAGATACGTTGAATGAGGTCTGTTTGAATTGGATCATCACTAAACTGTGCTAGCGGTCCAGGACTGGATTTGAAGAACCCTGGTGTAAAGTGTTCTGTTACTCTTAAATGCAGCAGTAGACCTGAAGGTTGCACAACAGCGCCACAGTGTGGTTGTCTTTGGAGAAGCATGACTTCAGCTACTGTGATTCTGTCTCAACATTTAATATGTAACTGGTTCGTTTCATAAGATCATTCAGTGCCACTGCACTCAAAGACTGTAATGCCTCTCCTCAGGATCCTCAGTCCAGTAAAAACATATCCCTTTCATTAAAAATTTAGCACATTGTATTTAGTATTCCTACATTTTGCTGCTGTCCTAAGAAAACCATTAATCTCCAACATGGCAACTTCACAGGCAAACACATTCTTCTACAACTTTTAATGTAAAATAAAGTAGAGAGATTTTATTCCAAGTATTTTTTCTATTTCATTTTGTTGTGTGATATTTTTACACAGTGTCAAGGGCAGCCACTGTGTTCAAATGATGTAGAAAATAAAAATAAAAAAAGGAGACTGAGGTTTTAATATGACTCTTAGTTGTTTATTTATTGTATGTATGTATTGTATGTATTTATATCAACTATTATTATTCTCTTTGCACAATACATGTCCCAAACAGTAACATAAGACTAATAAAGACTAATAAAAATAATTTCATCTATCATTACTACTATTACCTGACTAATCTTTACAATAGACATCAATTTATTAATTATACCTTATTATTTCTTGAATTTGCTCAGGAGCTGTGTCCTCACTGTCCAGATATAGACATACAGGGTTCTGTCCTCCCAGCGAAACTCCAACAGATCACCAAGAACCACCGCAAACTCCTTCTGAAGAGCTCTTCTTCATCAAATCAGCAGCTCATCATCACCCCTGTTGGCAAAGCCGAGAATAGCATCAAAAGGCTGACCAAGGTCCAGCGGTCCCGTCGGAGGCTGATGAGAGACGTATGTGCCAAATACAGAAGCAGCAGCAGTGCCAAGGCCGTGACCCGCCAACACGTGTCCCGCATCTATGTGGAGGACACGCACAAGCTCCTGTACTGTGAGGTTCCTAAGGCAGGCTGCTCCAACTGGAAGCGTGTGCTGATGGTCCTGCAGGGCCAGGCGGTCTCCACAGGGGACATTCAACACGAGCAGGTTCACTATGGGAATCACCTGAAGCGACTGGACTCCTTTGACCGCCAAGGCATTGCCCATCGCCTAAAGGCCTACACCAAAGTGCTCTTCTTGAGGGAACCCTTCGAGAGGCTTGTGTCAGCTTTTCGGGACAAGTTTGAGAGCCCAAACTCGTACTACCACCCGGTCTTTGGGAAGCCCATCATCTCGAAGTATCGCAGTAACGCGTCACAGTTGGCCTTACGCACAGGAGAGGGAGTGACCTTCAAGGAGTTCGTCCAGTACTTGCTGGACGTTCACCGCCCAGTGGGCATGGACATCCACTGGGAGCCAGTGGTGCAGCTGTGCAGTCCTTGCCTGATAGACTACGACTTCATAGGCAAGTTCGAGACAATAGAAGAAGAGGCCAATTTGCTCCTGAGGCGTATAGGAGCCCCCGCTAACCTAACCTTCCCCAGTTTTAAAGACAGGAACCCAAACGCAGCGAGGACTTCTGCACGAATCACACAGGAATATTTTTCTCAGCTGAACTTAACAGAGAGGCAGAGAACCTATGACTTTTACTTCATGGATTATCTAATGTTCAACTATTCCAAGCCATTTGCAGATTTGTACTGAGGAGTTTGTGAATGTAAATACTGTTGGCGTCTTGTTTCAGTCGAGGTTCTCATTACTCCTATGAAACGGTATATAAATAATTATTTTTTTAGATTTTGTTCAAAATTCTGTAAATTCTGATATACAATGGCTGTTTTTGCACACTCATTACAATATTGCCATAAAAGTATATTCTTCAAAGACTAGTCTTTACCAATTTTGGGTCAGTAACAAATCGATTACTTAACAAACATGTTATGCAGTACTGTGCATCAGGTCAGACACCCCACATCATTTATTTCATTTCCAGTCAAACAGCCATTAAATGGAAGTTATTCATTGTTCCAGTGTGAAGAAAGAAACTACTGGAAATTACACAAAGCCCTAAAAACCAAACACAATTTTTTTTTCACATTTTTCAGTATTAAGTGTGTCCGCTTACCTTTATTACAGCTTTCATTCTTTTTAGTAGACTTTCTTGCAGTTTTTCAGAGAAATCTGCAGGGATATTGTTTAACTCCTCCAGAGTTTAGTCCTAGAAGTTTGTTGCATTTTCTGCTTCTAACCATCCAAATAATCCCAAACACATTCAGTGATGCTGAGCTCTGCCAGCAGCTTCTTTTATGACTGCCAGTTGTTTTCTTTTTTATCTACTTCTTTTTCTCAGTGAGGGCTTTTTGACAGCCACACACCCTTTCAGACTCACAGTGCTGAGTTGTCTTCTCACAGCAGAAGCTTGGACAGAAAAGCCTGTGGTTTGGAGTTGGATTTTCTCCTCTTTCTCAAAGATGAAAGCTCGAAGTACTGTTTATCTGATGGGGACAGTTTTGGTCGTCTGCCAGGCCTTGCATGGTTGTTAGGAGTCCCAGTTTCTTTGTATCTTGTAATCATTTTTTGAACTCCTGTTTTTTCTTTGACTTTCTCTTTCCTTATGCAAGTGTATTATTTTATATGTAATTTCATCAGAAATATCTCCTGAAAAATGAATAACTAGGTCTTTAAAGTTCATAATGGCAGTTTTGACTGGAAATTAAATAAATCAAGGGTCTCTGACAGCACTGTATATGGTTCGCAGTCTGTATATTCCAATACAAAATTGTTGGACACCTGTCACTTTATACAGTTTGTGCTACAAGTGGCTTGAACACACATGGTTAATGGGCCGGTAATAAACAGTTATCCGGTATGTGTCATGTAAATGCATAGAAATAGAACAATTGTTAATCATTCTATGATGTGAATGTATAACTTGTGTTCTATCAAGCCTCCCAAACATGATGTAGCATGCCTTCAGCCTTACAGTGTACTGCCACCAGAGCGGTTTTACCCAGATTTTTACTTTGTTGGGAATTTTGAGTTGGATCAGGGAAAACACTTAATCATGTGCAGAATGGGTCTGTACCTCATGAAGTGATTGCGTTGTCTTAATGTTAATGTTAGTGTATTATCTCTGTGCCATTGCCTTTTTACTCTTAATGATTAAGATGAGATTATTTCAGTAATTTTGAGTACAGCAAACTTTCGACCAAATAAATACAGTTTTCGGGCGGTGTAGTTCAAGATTGCTTTAATGTCCCTTGATGTTTTTTCGTTGGATCTGTTTTAATTGTTTTTTTTATTATGCAGTGAAAGTTGATATTTTACATGCACTGGATGCATTTGAATGCTATGGTATCTAAATCATCAACTCTACCCTCCTTTAACAGTTTTTGATGCTCAGAACATTCTGAAATGGGTTTAGGCGATTGAACGATCTTTTTAACATACCATTTTTTACCATTAAGACAGTGATCAGTAACTGTGCCCAAATTTTCCAAGTGATTTTCCAGTGTACTTCTGGCAACCTCGAGCAGGTATGACATTTATTTTCCACAAATCTATAAAACTCCTTCATATGGTTGTATTCTTTTGTGTGGATCTTTAATAATCAGACTAGTTACTTACTACTTTTTTATAAAAGAGATAAGAGGGGTGTGAACTGTGGCTGCCAGAGGGTTTAAAGGGAAAGAAGCCGTACGAGTCTGACTCAGATGCAACCGATATCGGATTGAACAAACATTACAAAGGAAATGTGAAGAAAGTTTCCCTAAAACATGTTTTTCTGTTACTCAATTGTTGAAACATAAACCAAGTCATTCAGAGTTATTTGATGTGAGAAACTTACAGACTTACAAATTTTATTAAACCTGGTGGCAGTAAGAACCAGGGGTCCCGATGTCTACAGCACAAATTTGCTATCCAGTAAATCTACATGTGCTTTCTGAGTTTGTATATGTAATGTTGATGATGGTAAAATAGTGGAAAATCGGAACAAATAAAGTTTCTTTGGGGACTATTTTGCTAATAACTTTTAAACTTATAAATTTTAAAAATATGTTTTAGGCTAAAACCTAAAATCTCCGGATCAGGCGGTGGATTCATAACCATAACCAGTACATGAAGTTCCTCTCTGCAAGGGAGTTTTCAGAAGCATTAAACTGTTTGGACGTCTGGTTCCTATCACCACCACTATGAACAAGCCTAAATTCCATTCTGGAGAAACTTATCGATGCTTTATATGACTTTGTTTACATCCTGATGATTTAATTGGGCAAAAATTCAGCCAGAGTCGGTGGAATTCCCCTTTAAGCTCAACCCTTTTGACCTGGCAGGTGCTGCAGGAAACCATCAATGCCACCATGTGGCCAAATTACAAAAATGCAGATTTTTACAGAACTCAGAATTAACCCTGTAGTTTTTTATGAACATTTGTATGTTTCAGATTTGAACAATAACGTCTTCTACTGGGATCAAAAAACCCTGTCCATGATTTTGAAAACTGAATATTGTTCAACCTTAAATTTGGTAGACCCCCTTCTGAAAAGTTGTTGTGGAGAAAAGAAACAGGGTTTCTCTACATCATCAACGATATGCTATCCTCCCTCCCCCTCTCTCTCGCTGCAGCACATTTCTCCCCTCTCCCCTTGCCTGGGGCATATAGGGCACTTTTCAACCCCCCTCAACCCCCCATTACCCCTCCCTCCCTCTCTCTCTCTCTCTAAGGGAGAGCCTCAGGCTCTGACATCTCAGATTGTGGGACTCAAAGGGCACATCAAATCAGCTGCTATTTGTCATGAAGGTTATAGAACAAAGAAAAATGCAACTGTTCTATTTCTCAGAGTCCTAGAGAGAACACGCTCACGAAGAGACTCGCTGCCTGGTCTTTATAGTAAAACACCACAAAAAGGCCACAAAGTCCATGTCTGATGAATCACTGCTCATTTACCTCTGTTGTTGTTATGTAAATGAATTGATTTAGATCACAACAAAACACTGCATTATTTAAACCAGTTCAGTCTTCAGGGCCCCACAGACAGTCCACTTTTTGTCCTAGTCCTTTGTCCTAGACTCACAACCCACCTGAACCAGGTGATCAAGGTGTGTGGAATGACCACCTGCCACACACGTCTGCCAGGAGATCAGTGAGTTAAGAATCGAATGTACACTGTACTCAATATAATCTGCTCCTTAATTGCAAAAAAGATGGTTCTTTAGTGTTTCTTTAGTAAAGAAAACGGTTCTATGTAGAACCACGAACACTCAAAAGAACACTTTGCCTGATTTAAAGGTTCTTTGCATGGTGAAATGGTTCTTCAGATTGATGGAGGATGTGCTGTATATAGTCCTATATAGAACCTTTTTTAGAAGGGTTCTTTATAGCACCATAAAAAGTTCTTCTATTGTTACAATGTCAGGCTTATTACAAATAGCAGAATCCTTTTTGGAGTTATATTGAACCATTTTCAAAAAGATTCTTGTTGAACCATCTACAGCACATTCTCCATCAGTCTGAAGAATCCTTTTGCGATACAAAGAAACTTTTAATCATGCAAAGGGTTCTTTGAGTGTTTATTGTTCTATATAGAACCATTTTCTTTACTAAAGAACCCTTGAAGAACCATTTTTAAATGTGTAGATTGAATTGATTGTAGCATGGACATTACACGGGTTCTTTAGTACAGGCAATGACTATTTAGAACCATGAGTCCTGTATAGTACCATTTCATTCTTAAATGGTTCTTTGCATGGTGAAATTGTTCTTCAGATGGAGAGATGGAGATTCAGATTGTGTTATATTTGGCTTTTGAAAATTGATCTATACAGCATCAAAAAGTGTTCTACTATTATTACAATGTCAAGCTCTTAACAATAGAACCCTTTTTGGTGCTATCTAGAACCATATACAACATATTCTTGATCAATTTGGAGAACCATTTCACCCTGCAAAGAACCATTTAGGCATGACATAGTTCTATTTAGAACTCATGGTTCAAAATAGAACTACTGCCTTTGCTAAAGAACTCTTGAAGAACCATCATTTTAAAGTGTGTAGTTAAGCACATTTTGTGTGTTTGTTAGTTCTATGTTAAAAAACTCAACCCTGCTACTTTCAACCTTGTTACTGACTTAAGACCGTGTCACAAAAGAAGCCTCAGATAATGTTCCTGTGATGGTTTAACACATTTTTAGGTTCAGAATAAAGTTTAATTTTCAAGAGTTACAAGAGCTAAAAAGCTTCCCAATCATGGAATCACCCTCACGCTGTTGCTCTGTGAATTGGGAAAACAGGTCACGAATGAAAGTAAGTTAATGCGAAAAACATATAATCTTTATAGCCCAATAAAGGAATCACTGTAGCCTGTGGTCCAGTTTTTTAGTGCTGGACACAGTGAACCCACCTTGTGCATAATATCAGTATTTCCCAGTCACTCCTGTAATCCACCTGAACTGCACAATTTTGTGCTTTTCCTGCTCCTGAGTCATATGAAACAGATCTGCATGAGCTGAGTAAAGTGTGCTAGAGCAGAAGAACATAAAGCTGCAGGAGGGAAGACGGGAACCACCAGACTACAGGCCCATCTGCAGTACTGCTTACAGACAGCAGGTAGCACTGTACTTCACTGAGGCTTCAAGATCTCAGAAGAATATCGACAAACTTGATTATTCTGATCAGAATTCATATCAGACGTCAACAGAACAGGTTTCATATAAAACCCGAAAACAAAATCAATATAATCCAGCAGTAAGTTAATAAAACACAGACGTCTGCTACTTTACTCAGGCTGTGTATTAGGATTTGTCTGCATGAATATGATAAAAAAGTAATAAGCAAAAACAAATTTAAGGATCTATTTATAAAGTTTATTTTTAAAATGTTAACATCCTTCTGCTGTCAGGAAAAACTTTAAGAAAAAAAGCTCCACAGGATTGAACTTAAAGGCAAACTCCACTGATTTTTCATTCTACATAATTCTACATAATTAAATATTTAAGATGTAAACAGTGTCATTGAGAGTGGTTTGATGTGAAATGCTCTGCTCCAGAGGAACCTGGTGATAGGAACCAGACGTCTAAGGAGTTTAATGCCTCTAAAAGCTCCCTCACAGAAAGTTGTAACATGAAATGTTTATGAATACTGAGTGTGATGTCTGAGACAGTGCCTTACAGTAGTTTTGTGATAACATTTTGGTCTAAATTAAAAAGTAAATCAATTTTTTTGAATCCATTCATGGAGGAGGGGTCCATGCATTGTGCTGTGAGGCAAAATAGTCCCCAAAGAAAACTTTTTCAGATTTACCATCATCAATTTTACATATAAACACTCAGAAGACACGTGTAGGTTCACTGGCTTTGGATGGTAAATAAAATGGCTATATTTGTGTGGTAGACACTGTGACCCCTGGTTCCTATCACCAACACTGTAAAGAAATCAGAGTCTGTAAGTTTCTCTACAATGAATCACTTCGCATCAAACGACTCTGAATGATTCTGTTTACATCTCAATCACTAAATTATACAGGAATTTAGAAAAGTTGGTGGAATTCCCCTTTTAAGCTGCAACTTCTGTTTGAGCCGTGCAGATGCAGAGTGTGTTGTGGAGATGCACATCATTCGGAGAAGCCGTTTTCTCCCTCATCTCTTTCTCACATCCCCCTTAAATTAAGGAAATTAAGTGCGGGCGCCTCGGGCAACATGCTAAGCTATTTAAATCTTTACATTTACATCTTCCTCTTCGCGTCAAGTAATTGAACTCACTCCGGGCTTGCTGCTTTAATTGAACAAAAATATCTCGTCTTCCTGCTGCTTTGCTCTGACGAGGGAAAACTAATTTCAGCCAAAGGCGAGAAAGAAGAAGAAGAAATCAGTTGGCAATGTAGCTTAGTCCAAACAGTTTCGCACACAATCTTGAACGCAAACACGTTTGATTTCCTAAGTGAGAAAGCCTGTTGTTGCAGACTTTCAAACGCAGGCTGGTCTGACTGCTGTAACAGTGGCCTATAACAACCTACACGGCCGGTACTTCTGACTTCTGACTGGTTACGCAAACGTTTTAAGCCTTTTTCTCATTAACGTCGTATAAAAGAACTAATATAAGTGCTGCAACACGCGAGTGTGGTTCTGTGTTGTCTGTGTCAATACAGTATGATCACTGGTTGGCGCCAGACTTCAACTTTCAGCTAAATCCCTTCATCAAGAGGGTAAAAACCCAGTTAAGTTCGCAAGAGCGCTGAACGCTGTGAATCAACTTCGATTCATTTTATCCAACCGATTCTTTCGAACTGTCCTTTCAATGAGTCGATGATTCGACCGACCGATTGAACGATTCATTTCACTTGCTTTGTGGTCGGCATCGCAACTTGTAGTTTAGAATCTGTAGAATTAGGAATATATCATTTAATATATAACATAAATAATAAAAATGTATTTAACATTTAATAAAAAATAAAAGTTGCAAGCTATGTAAGGTGCTTTTATTATGCAGATTTTTTGGGGTTTTTTTAACAGTTGCACCAGAGAACTTACATAAAATGTTATACTTTTACTCATTTTTTTTTATTAAGCAGTTGTTTCTGCAATATTAAAGTCATAAGTTATAAAATGGTCACTAATGAAGTATTTAAAAATGTAACAAAATAGTAATTTTCCATTTTTCTTAAGTTTTTTACTTTATTATTACAATAAAAGTTAATAAAATGACAGATAATAACTTCATTCAAAAATGAAATAACTGTAAAAATGGTAATAGTAAAAAATAGCAATTGTCAGTTTTCATAAAGAGTTAAGTATCATAAAAAGGTGTTTAAAAGCACTAAATTTGATTTTTAATATTTTTACTGCAACCCTGTACTAAAATAATAAACAATATGCATTCTACATCATGAGAGATTATTATGGTCAGGACATCTTAAGACTGTGTCTACAGACATGCCTTAAAGACACGTCTTCACTTCTCAAGATGTCTTAACATGTCTTCATAATTGTGTCTTTAGATGTTTCTTAAAAGACACAGTGATAGCTGGGTATGAAAACAAGTTCCCATTTTTCAGTGATAATAACAGAAAAGTGCATTTAGCAAAATACCTAACAGTTACATACTCATGATACAAACAGGGCAACAAAAATAAGCACAGTGTTCAGATTACACACAATGTAAAATTAAAGTAATTACTTGTATAAATACATTAACATTACTAGTACACGGCACTCCTGGTGATATTCCTGACTGTAATCATATCTATGTCTTCACTTTGTAAATAGCCTTGTTAATGTGCTTGCCAATGCTATGGTAATGCTAATTTAGCACTAATTTAACAGTGGCATTTCACATGCAGGTTTTAATATGGCAGCTGTAGCTTAAATACAGACACTGGAATCTTGTATAACATTTAAGAAGTGTATTCTTTACTTTTGCACCTTAACTGAGAATGCTTCAGTAAATATTGCATCTTAAATCTTTTATTAAAGGAGTCTGTTTTTCCCTTTTCAGTAACGCACACAAAACGTACTAATGCTAATATCTTTCCCTTGTAGAGAGCTGTAGGCAGCTGTTTAGGTATATGTGACTTAAGATACTACCAGCTGTAGTATAATGACTCTCTTAATGTTCTCTGTAAAAACTCATCTTGTCTGTGTTAGAAATATTTCCATGTGTATATTGCTTCGTTTTTTGGCCAGTTTGCTAAATGTGAGAGCAAGGTCTGTTTTTGAGACACAATATCACTTGTCTCCACTTTCTTTGCAGATGTATGTCAGACAACCAAAAACAAAAAAGATAAGACATTGATTTTAGACTACATGTGATTTTATATATCAGATTAACTCAACCAGTGTCAGGCAGTAGTGTGGGCAACTATAAATCAGTTTCAGAAATTCAAAAGTAAAAGTAGGTAATCCGATTATACTTTAATAAAATAATCCCCTGGATTAGTTACAGATTACAGACCTGTTAAAATGAAGTTTTAAAATAGCCTAACCAACAGTTAGATAAACATCTGTGTTTTTTTGTCAAATCCTGAGAGACACAGCCTAAACAACACAGCAGGCAGAAAACAGGTTTGTTTGTCATTCATTCGATTCATTCGCGCTGCGAGTCGATTCGCTCGAATCACCGAAAAGAATCGTTCAAAAAGAACGATTCGATCGCCAATCGAATATCGCTGATAACGCCGCCACAGACGGTTTCCACCTTCCGCGTAGGCTTAAACCGCGATCCTTTCTCACCGCGGTGAACCTGCCTGTCTTTGCCCGGCTCAAAGATGCCATTAAGGGCTGGAGGGTCTCCGTCTGACCGTGCTGGAGATTGAAATGGCGCGTTGGGCTTCAGGCGGGCTGTGGGGGCGCTTTCTGCTCTGCCTGCGTTCACGTCCCTACACTCCATCCTGCTTTAATGCACATCACCGTGTGACAGATGCGGGGGGCATAGACAAGTTTGGCTCTTATTCCTCAAACGTGATGGGGTCGCATTCAAAACGTGCTTACTAGCCTGCTTTTATCAGCTCGCTCCTCAACTACTATGAGCTTCTGTCTGTTTTAGTTTAGTAGGAAAGCAAACGCAACACTGAGTTCTGTGTCTGGATCTCAGACATGGCAATCAGGTCACAGGTACTTCACTGAAACGCCTGTTTGTCGGTGGAAAAAATGGAAAACGGATCGGATTCGAGCTCAAATAGGTTCCCGACGTATGAATAAGAGAGATCAAGCGTTCATGTGCAGGCAGGGCTGAGCTAATTGGAGGCTAATCCTTTGCCCCCGGGGGGCGAGAGGAGAGCCCGGAGCAAGACTTCATCTCTCTCAGCCCCTGTCCTCTGTTATTCGGGGAGGAAACGCCTGGCTTCGGTGCGCTCTCACGCTTCGCCAACAACAAAAAAGAAAGAAATAAAAAAAAAAAGCACACGACTCGAGGACGGGATCGATCTCATGCTTTAAAGAGGGTGAAGATACAACAGCAGCGATGTCTTCCAAGGTAAGGAGCCCCCTGTGCAGGCAGTTAGCTTCAGTAGCAGGGCTGCCAGAACACCTCTTGTGTTAGAACCGAGTTTTTTTTAAAGCCACAGCGACCTATATCTCTCCACCGCTGCCGTGCTTTAAGCTTTGGCAGGCTTTCAGCTGCTTTTAGGAAGATTCGCGAGATTTTTTTTTACTTTTTTTCATTTTTCACACGTTCATATCTGGGATTTTACCGACGCGGTGGAGACAGACGAGCCGGTCTAAACATTTTCGCCCAAGTTGTTTCAGAAAGGACGAGAAACCTGCAGCCGTCAGAGGTAGATTTCGTGGCCAGATTGCTTCGGACGTCCTAAAATGTTTGAAACGGTACGGAGAGGGTTTTTTCTACTTCAAATCAGATTTTTGAAATCTGCCTTAAGTGTTAACTAGTTTAAGAGCTGAAGAAGCAGAGCTGTAGCTCCATGTGTGCTGTGAGGTTTCAGCCGTGAGTGCAGGGTTATGGACTCTGATAGCTTAGCAGATACTGGGTTCGCTTCATCCACATTTTCTCCACTTTGTGGCTCATTTATGTACCTTTTGGTATTAAAATGCGGTTAAAGTATGAGTTTGAGTGAAAAGAATAACGTTACAGCTTGGCTGTAACGTTCAACAACATAAGCTAACATTACTTGCTGATATTTGACAAGTTACTACAAAGCCGGTCAGCTTCTTATTCGAATTTTCCCGTTCCACCTTAAATGGTGCAGCAGTTCCATGGTGTGAGGCGGGCGCCAGAATGGAACTGCGGCGCCATTTAAGGTGGAACGGGAAAATTCGAATAAGAAGTTGGCGAATATGAAGGCAACTTCATAGGAATAGGAAGCCTCGTCAAGCTACCTCAGGTTTTCCTAGCGTGCTCTAACAAAAGACCAACGTCTGTCTTAAAAGACGTCTACTATTTTTTCCATTTAGACGGTTGGTGCAGTGTTTGTCGTTCTTTAAGCTCATAACCCAGAAGAGAATAATGAAGACAATTAGCCTTCAGCGTTGAGCCCCGAGCAAAGGAGGCTTCAACCGTGTGTGTTCAGCATTTCGCAGGTCATATTTAAGCTCTTTCATACTGAATAGCTGTGACATAATTTAGACTAAAACGGGCCTTTAAAATGTCTTGACAGGTGTTTCCAAAGCTCTCCACTGTCTCTGACTGAACTCTCAGGTCCTTACACTCAGATTTTAACAGTAATGTTTTGGTTTTTTTTTTACATAAACTACTAAATACTGACTGAAATACAATATCAGAGACTGGTGGAGTTGCCAATAAGAAACTGTGGCTTCTTTATAATTGGGCATTCTTTTAGTCAAATTCTGTGGTTCTTCTATAATTTACACATGTTTATCTTTTCTTTAACAGTTGCTTTTCCACTTCAGCTCGAGATGTTGATTTATTTCAGCTGCAAACTTTCAGAGATCCAAACCACCGGCTGTCATCAAACCTTTCATGTCTCACACTCACTCCCAGTACCTTTAATTAGGAGTTTACACTCTTTCTGTCTTCCCTGAAGGTAGACACCTACAGTACCATCCCTCTCTCTCTCTCTCTCTCTCATGCTCGTTAATAATCCTCATCCTTTCCTCCCCTCCGGTTCTATTAAAACTGGGATGCAAATTCTCTTAATTAGAGTTGTGCCACTAATTCTTAAGTGAAATACAGACTGGGGCAGATGTGTGAGTGATCTCACAGGCGTTGACAGGCCAGAAGCACACCTAAGCACTCTGAGCTCTGGGAGGGAGAGGACTGGCAGAGAACGGCAGTGCCGAGGGTGTGTTTTACGTGCTCCTGCTGAGGGTGTGTTCTTGTGTGCTGGTCCGCAGGAGGGAAGAAGCATGTCTCGTCTCTCTCTGACCCGCTCTCCGGTGTCTCCTCTGGCCGCTCAGGGGATCCCTCTTCCAGCTCAGCTGACTAAAGCCAACGCTCCGGTCCACATTGACGTAGGAGGACACATGTACACCAGCAGCCTGGCCACTCTCACCAAGTATCCAGACTCAAGGTAAGACAGTCTATCATGATGGTGGGAGTGGTAACCTGAGTCATATTAACCCCTTAAACTCTAGGCTTATTTCTCAGTGAGTATTAAAGTCCATATCCAACAACGACTATGTGTTACTCAATAACTGCTATGAAGGGAGTATTTAATGTAGTTGTGAGAGTGAAGAATGAAGTATGGAGCCTTTGGCAGGTTCCTAGAGTTTAAGGGGTTAAACATGTGACCTGTAAGTTATCGCTGTTCTAGATGTTGGTCTGTCCGGTGGAGGATGACTTCTGTACTTCCGGCCATCAGGTTGATCAGCAGATATGGACACTAAGCAGCATAGAGAGAGAGATTTCCTTTCAAGTCCTTACTAATATATTTTATTTCATATCGCTGTTGTCAGAACAAAATTTTGTGTCTCCAAAAAGCTTTACAGGAGAAGGAAAAAACATACTTTACTTGTAATGTAAAGTCAATTGAACCAGACATTTTTCCAAGTCATTTTAGGCCGTTCCTTTTGATCAATTTATCATGAAATTTACACACAATGTAAAGGACAACAGGCCAAAATGGAGATACAAAAATGAAGATACAAGGTTTTTTTTTGCGACAGCAGCGATATATTTCTCATTTTTACTTATGTTTTGTGATATTTTTGTGTTTGTTTATTTTTTTTGTGTTTGTTTTGTGTTGCTTTGAGGACTGCTCACTTGCCCAGTACTTCATTACCCCTTGAGGATAAAAATGTCCAATTCAATTCAATTCTCTTCAACTTTCTGTTATGAAATTCAATTTTCTCTTCCTTCCTCTGAGAGCGCAACTGTTTGACTCAGTTGAAGGCAAATATGCGAATGCATTGCTCTTGATCCTCCTGCTTGTCTTGAGTTCCACAGAGATTAAACTAATGCCTACTCAGATACAGTTTTACTCTTGTTCATGTTTTCATCTGTTATTATAAATATGCTTTTTGTTTGGTTGGTTAATAACTACAAAGCTAACATTAAGTACATTTCAGGCTTGTTACATGAGAAGCACAGTAAAAGGCTATCAGAATTAAACAGACCTCTTCTGAGAGGGGGTTTGTATGCAGTGTTGCAAGGTAATTTTAGGTTTTGAACAGCTTCGATTTCCAGGCAATATTACACCTCCCAACTCAAATTAGCCCTTCTGGGCAGATTTCGTTATTCCAATTCATTGTTGCATTGTAAACCAGTCAGTTTGTTCTACCAAATGAAATGCCACAGAGGCATAAACAGGTGGAATTTGCTTTTGTCAGTCAGAGACCTCAGGATCGGTTCCACAGTTTTACTGTAGAGCTGAGCAGAGCTGTTGCTCCCCGCCTCCTCCTTCACACCACCAAGATATTATTGCCACAGACCTTAACTGTGTTTAGTTGAGCAATTAGCAGAAACGTTAAACTCATTGAGGCAAAGACAACAATTCTGTGGGACACTTGTGTTTGATGTTTGTCTGAATTAGTTAGCGTTCCTCTGTAGACGTGTTCAAACATCAGGATTAAAATATCTAGATGCATTTCACTCTGGATGCACCACACTACTAAAGTGGCATTGGTCTTCCTCTCGCAGGGGAGCAGGCTCGTATTCAGTACAATGCGAGTAACATACCTAGACATGACCCCCCAAACCCTAAGCATGTGTACGTGGCCCATATTGTGGAAAGCTGACTTTTCCTTGCTTTTTTGATGTAGAGGAGTTTGATGTAGTATGTAAATATCGATATATTTTCCTAATATACCATTCACTGCCCAGTTCAAACCAACCTATATGAAAAATAAGCTGCATAAACAGCCTGTTTTTGTGATGTCATGAAAACTTAACACAATTTAGTGCCACCCATTCACACTGAAGTTATAAGGAGTGTTTTAGCCTGGACTGCTTTTTTTGAAAGAGGTCAGCCAGTCAGAACAGAGAGCATTTACGTGTATCAGTCTTGAAGGGGCAGTAAGAAAAATAGCCTGAGGTTGGGAAATGGTCATGCAAAAATGAATTATGACTACTTTCAGTACATAAAACCACACAGATCTTGTAAGAGGACCTTAAGGAAAAAGTAGATTACAAGAAAAAAGTAGGATAAAGTCCCTGAACTATATTCCTAGTAGTTATTAAAACATTAAAAATAGTTACTGAATAATACGTTTCAAGATCAATAGTTACATAATTATACTGCAGTTTAAGGGTCTGTATGTGGGCCTACACTTCAGTTTCTCACTCTCATAACTACACAATGTACATATTGGTGTGCAAATAATTCATAATAGTGGATAATAAGTATTAGGATTAATAATTGAATAGTAAGTCTAGGCTTCAAGGTGTTAAGGAATAAAATAAAAAAAAAACACCCAAACAGCACTTGTAGAGTTGTGAAATTCCTACCTGCTGCATCTCCAGCTCAATCCTCAGAGGTCTGCTGATAATTTACTCCCCAAGAGGGCAGGGTGTAGAGGGGTGCCACCTGTTAGAGAGGGGAGCATGAGCACGAGAGAATGAGGGAGTGCACCATCACATCTGCTCAGCTTAACACACAGCATGGCCTTCTCTGATTTAATAACGCAGATAGAGAGAGAGAGAGAGAGAGGGAGGAGGAGAGGAGAGCGGGGGGAGGGGGAGGGAGCAGGCAGCATTTTAATTGCTTTTCGGAGGAAAAAAAGAAAAAGAAACGGAGATGAAAAACTAAGATTGCCTGAAGCTATATGGTGAAATTCTAACTGGGGGAACTGCAAGACCATATGAGAAAAGAACCACCGCAGGCACTAAAGGGGGAATTGGTTTTCTTATTAAGTGTTTTGCATCAGTTTCCAGAATGAGAGAGAGAAAGAGAGAGAGAGAGAGAGAGTCAGAGAGAGAAAGAGAACATAAAATGAAATAGGAACATCTTTGCAGTGACAAGATGTAAGTTGATTTAACACAAAAGCAGGAATAGCATAGGACACGATTCCAAATGTTTGACCTCATTCTTCAAACCAGGTTAAACAATAAAACTTCATTATACTTGCATTTGATTTTGCTCAACCTGCTACGACAACAGAATGTAAAGGAAGCGAGTTATAAAGAATATGATGTTGTGTGTCTAGGATTCCTTATTGTTACAGTAAAGCCTTTGCATCGTGGTTAAATTCAAATGATCTGCTGAATGTAAGCTTGTTTGTCCCTCCTTCCTCCTCTATCCTTTCCAGAATCAGTCGTCTGTTCAACGGCACAGAGCCAATCGTGTTGGACAGTCTGAAGCAGCACTACTTCATTGACAGGGATGGGGAGATATTCCGCTATATTCTGAGCTACCTTCGGACCAGCAAGCTGCTTCTCCCTGAAGACTTCAAGGTACATTTCTGGATTTGTTTATTAGGAAAACACGGGATGTTTCTTCATTGCATCATGTTTAGAGCTTTGTTATGTTTAAGAATTGCAATTTTACACTGACTGCAGGACTCGCTGACAGTGATTAAGCTCAAGCCCACAACTATTAACCACAATGAATCGCATAGTTACAGTGATGTCCTCCAGCTGCTGCAGCAGCTCTGTTAGACAAATTCTGTATCACCCTGAACTGCAGCTGCAGTTAAACTTAATCAATCAGGATGGAGAGATTTTTTACCACCACTCTTAAAAATGATGGTGCCAAAAAGGGGAGATGCCATAGAACCGCTTTTGGTTTTTTTTAAGAGCATTTAAACAGAGGATTCTGTTATTCAAGGAAATTCCACATATTTTTCAAAATTCCTGCATAGTTCAGTCATTAATGTGTGAAATGGTTCATCGCAGAGAAAATGAACAACTCTGATGTTTTACAGTGGCGCAGAATGGCGATAGTGAGGGTTAACCATCATAAAAACAAAGTCTGAGGCATCAGGCAGTGTTTTCAGAACCGTTTTGTGTAATAGTTTTTTTGAGGGAGCTTTTAGAGGCATTAAACTCTTCAGATGTCTGGTTCCTATCATCACCACTGTGGACAATCCTGACTCTGTATGTTTCTTTACAATGAACCATTTCACACACTACTCTGAATGACTTTGTTTACATGTAATTATGCAGAAATTTTGAAAAATCAATGGCGTTCCCGTTGAAAGACCCATTTTTGTGAATGAGATGTGCAGACTTGTGCAAAAATTTGATTACCCCTGGTCAAATTATGTTTTGTTGATCTAACTGCAAAAAGGTAAATTTCTCTACAGGAAGCACATTTAAATATGACATATTTCTCCAATGTTTTGTGCAAATTTCTTTTTATTGTTTTTATTGAGTTTAACTTACTGGAAAAAAATAAAACAAAAATGTTTTATGTGCCAAAACACAAATTGTTGTGCATTAAATTTAGCAAATGTGTGTTGCCTCTAGATGATTATGATGATTATTTCCACTTAGAAAATCAACAAAAAATGTAATTTGACCAGGAATGCCCAAACTTTTCCGTAAGACTATGAGTGTGGAGAACCTTTTGCACATTTTAAGAACCTTCATGTAATGTAAATAATCTATAACAAGTAAAGGTTTTATTTCCTAGAACCGTGCACCCGAGCCAAGAACCATTTAGGAACCCTGATTTTTAAGACTCATATTTTCTAGCGTTCCTTGACACTGCGATTTTCATGAGGGTGTGGAAAAGCAAAAACGACGCAGTGGAAGACATCAGCTACAACGAGCAGAATCAAATCATTACATCTCATTACAGTCAAGCCTTCACAGTTCACTCATCACACTCTCTCTCCCCTAAACGCAAGCTGGGAAATATGCAAAAAGCAGTGAGTGACTGAATTGATCATCATATGCAGCCCCATCCAAACGCTGGAGGGCTTAACTCTGCCAGGCTCATGACTCTGACACAGTGGGTTCACAAGATCGATCTGTATGCCTGCATACTGCTTCTACATCTCATCCGCTTGCTGAAGGGAATCGTTCAACCCCTTGAAATAGTTTGAAAAGTTTACGACAGAAATAACTCCTCTAATTCACTCCCGATTTGAAAAACTAGTTACCTCTGATATATACTTCAGTCGGTCGTTGCTTGCGGTGATGCCGTAAAGTGTCAGACAGAGTTCTGACCATGCGGGCTAATGGGATTTCAGCAGTCTGCTAAATTCAAATTATGTTATTCACTCAGCTCTAACTCAAACCTGCTTCTCAAGACTAAGCGGCGCACCTTATTCAGTAGTGCAGCTTCTCTTTTTCTATCTCACATTCTAAAGAGGAGTCTCTCTCCATAGAGATATGTCTGCTGGATTTGGTTTCAGGGCATTGCCTTGCAGGGGGATCAACATACCTAACCCTCACTACAGGCCTGGGAAAGAATATCACCTTAAGACTTATGTTTCCCTTTGAATTAACCCAAGCCTGAAGGCCTTAGGTCTCAGCATGTTGTCAGGACCAGCATGGGCCAAAAAGAAGGAAAGAAAGAAAGAAAAAGAGAGAGGGAGAGAAAGAGAGGGCGAGCCAGACAGGGGTGGGGCGAGGGGCAAGCAAAAGCAGCTCCGTTTCGTGCGGCAATTATTAAAGCGTGTGGAGTCTGAGACGCTGCGTGCTATTGTTCGCTGTGGCATAGCCTACAGTGAAATGAGTGGTTCTTACAGGGTGGAGGAGAGGAGCTAGCTTTGTGGAGATCACTGTTACACACTGAGACAAATCACTGAGCTAAATGAGGAAGAGTTCTCTCACCTTTATCTTCAGCTTCGTGGTCCTAGACCATCAAGAGTGTAACAGTGAAATTGCATTTACAGTTTTCCTCTTACCCCAAATGTAGTCAGTCAGCTACGACATCAAAATAGACAAAACTATTGGCAAAATACAAGCTATAGGATGGCTGCTACTGTTATGTTTAGCTATGCTATGTAAGGGATGAACATTAGGGGAAAATATCTAATTACTATTTTTTTTTACTCATATTTTGACAACAATTTAATTTGCAGTTATTTTCTATAAATGGAGATAAAGGCCTGTTTTTTGGCCAAGTGGATGAGCATATCCATTTTTTCCTTCTTCAGACTCAAGCGCTGAACATAGTGCGCCAGTTTCCCAGTTAGTTATGTGGGTGTTTGGTTGCGTCTGATTGGTCTAACTCATCTACAGGCATTTCTCAGCTCTGTGTTTGGCTATAATGAAAATTATTCTCTTGCGATCTGTAAATTGCGCTCTTTCAAATTGCAATTTGAATATAAAAACGGTTAATCTTTCAGCCCTATGATGGGTCTGTTTTAAGCCACAGTGTTAGAAACCACATAACAAGTCTTAACAACTTGACACAGTTCAAAGAAAGTGTATGATGATTTTGGTATGCAGAGTGCACAGTGCTAATTGGTGGGATATAAGTTTCCATTACTTAGCCTCATTAGCCTGATAGCTCCAACAGAACCCAGATATAAAGCTATAGAAGCCAAATACGTCTGTCTGATTGACTAGATTTAGGATAAGCAGAAAACAGTTTACGTTTTTGCACTAGTGTTCCTATGAAGTATCTGTAAGCCTGTCTTTCTTATTTTAACTCTTTTATTTCTCATATTATTTCTCTGTGCTTTTCTGTACATTGTTAAACGAGTGATTCTTCATCGGTGTTGTTAATGCTAGCAGTGAGTGGCGGTGCCATCTGGTCTGGTGGAGAATGAAAGGGGCGAGAGGCTGGGGTGAAGGTGCTGCAGGGCAGTGAGAGCCTGAGGGGAATACAGGCAATCTGTACTGCCAGACCCCAGAGCCTGTGGGGGGGAGGGGAGAGAGGCCAGGGCAGTGCAGCCCTCTGCCCCAGTCTGGGCTAAATGGGTTTGAATGGATTAGCTAATGCTAAATGATTTTTGCTAACTCCAGTCAGGGTGATTTCAGTCATTAATGCTACAGTATGAGCACTTTTACAGACCTACATGCTAATGTGTGCTACTGGTGTGTGGAAAACTGTTCTGAATGATGCTCAGAAAACCTCCTGGTTCCATCTATTTATGATTTTCTGTATGCTATATTTTTATCATATACATAAGCTGCATTAATGAAGGTGTGCCATTTTAGCCATTTTATTTATTTTGCCTGATTATGATGTCCATTGTGACTTGGTTTTGGTCTGCCTACGATCAGAATCTCGCTCACATTAATCTCCTCCTGCTGAACCAGTTTGCAGGCTTAAAGGAGAATTCCACCCAAATTCAATACCTGAGATGTAAACAAAGTCATTCAGAGTGGTTTTTACATGGTTTAAAATTCTGTGTTGTAGAGAAACTTACTGTTGGCAGTGCAAATATAGCCATTGTTTACTGTCTATTATTATTTACTATCTAAAACGACCAGTGAACCAACATATGTCTTTTGTGTTTTTATATGTAATGATATAGTAAAATAGTGAAAAAAGCATGCACCTCTCCACCATCAATGGATTTTGGCCAATACCTTCTGAAAGCTGTTAACACAATATCTCACACATCAGGGAGTGTATTTGGAACCATTTCATGCAATAACTTTCTATAAGGTAACATACAGAGGCATTAAACTCTTTAGATGTCTGGTTCCTATCACCACCACTGTAAACAATTCTGATTGGGTAGGTTTCTCTAGAATAGTGTTTTTACGTCAAACCACTCTGAATGACTTTGTTTACATCTTAACCTTTTAAGTATGCAGAAATGTTTCGGTGGAATTCACCTTTAATTACAGGTAATATAGATATATGAGCCTCTAAGATGTGTCTATGGGTTTCACTGAGCACATGAAAAAACCTTTTAGCACAGATGAACAAACTGACATATCAGTTACTAGTTAAATAATCAGCTCATCCTGAGTTGAAGAGGGAGCTGAAGGGTTGAATCGTGCAGATCAGAGGTACTCCAGGAGCAGGACTGGGAACTCCTGGATTGCATCCACTCACCCACTGCCTCTGTGTTCTCTGTGTAGGAGTTCCAGCTGCTGTATGAGGAAGCCCGTTATTACCAGCTGAGCCCCATGGTGAAGGAGCTGGAGCGCTGGAAGCAGGAGCGGGAGCAGCGGCGGACGGCGCAGCCCTGTGAGTGTCTGGTGGTGCGCGTGACCCCTGACCTGGGTGAACGGATCGCTCTGAGCGGCGATAAGGCCCTCATCGAGGAGATTTTCCCTGAGACAGGAGACGTCATGTGTAACTCAGTCAATGCTGGCTGGAACCAGGACCCCACTCACGTCATCCGCTTTCCACTCAATGGATACTGCAGACTTAATTCTGTACAGGTAAATCCACCTCTATTAACAGACATAATGCTGTGATGCTGCAAATTTACACCAGTCCTGAAGGGCCAATGCATTGCAGTTTAGTGCTGTACTTGCTTGTTAACCCCCAAAGCTTAATATGTAAGGGCCTGTATGTGGGCCCACACTTCAGTTCTTCACTCTCATAACTACATCACTTACATATTAGTTTCTTAGTTTCTGAATAAAACATATGAGTTATGGAATAACAGGCCTTAAGATTAATAACTGAATTATATGCCTCACTTTTGAGGGGTTAAACAAACTTGACCAAAACATAATCTTTGCCGTTTCTGTATAACTTATAGTAGTTACTAAATAATAGGCCTTAAGGTTAATAACTGAACAATAAGCCAGCAGTTAAAACGAACTTGATTCAAACCATCAGTGGCTGACAGTTACCAGTCTTGCCAGATAGAGAGATGCTGTAGAAGAACCACTTTTGGATACACACTGACAGGAAAGAAAAATAAAAAAGACCTACTTAATGTGTCTGTAGTTTCTCCTAGACAACAAGATCAGATGGAAAGAAAAAGGAGACATTTGCTTAAGTCTCCTGCTGCTCAGATATTTCTCCTGAGCAAAGTCATTTCCAGAAATACGTAATCTCATGTCTGCTCTTGAGTTTTAATAGAGATCTCAGTGAATTCACACATTGTGCTCAAACTTGCCAAGATTAACACTTGTCTTTATCTGCTACTCGTCTAAAGACAGGAACTCAACCATCCTATCCAAAACTAAGACCCTTCTTAGTTTTGATGCTGTGAATAATTATAATTTTTCTCTCCTTAGGAATTTTAGGAGACTCGCCGTTAAGTCTACTGAGCAATCAAAGAACGAGTAAATAAGTGTTAAAGATGTGTTGGGAGCTGGGAAAACTCTAAAATATGCAGTGCAGGTTAAATACAGAAGCAGGTTTGGGAGAAATGCCAGTCTACAGTTACAAGAAGGTTCAGATGATCGCCTTATGTGTTTAAGCATGTATAGATGATGTGAGTGATGAGGTGGAAGGCGTCGTGTGCCCAAGAAGATTGAGATGCTGCAGATATTGTGTTGGAAGTGAGGAGTGGGGCATCATTGTTAGGTGGCTGCAAGTGGTGCGCTCTCTCACAGGAAACGCTGGAGTTGTGTGAGAGGGAAGGATGGAGGTGGCAGGTGTGGAGAAAGGTGTGCTTCCACAGCTGCAGAGGTGCAGTTCTGCCTCACAAGATGTTAACACATCCCTTGTATTTGCTTGTTTGGAAAGCGCGGCTACATTTGCACATGCGGGCACACTCAGGCGCGCACCTCTAATTCCAATGCCGGCATTAACGTAGGACTATAGAGTCCTGAAAGCGAGCGGAGAAGTCGAGGGGAAAAAGATATGCATAATTTATTTTTAACTCGTCCTCAAGACAAATCTCTTCTTTTGAAAAAAGTGCTCCAGCATATCTGTGCCTGGAGCGTTTTAAACACACATACTACATTTTTAATACCTACTTTGGTTTCTTTAAACAACCTAAACTGGTTTATGCGACTTTTTTTTACACATGCTTAATTGACTTACAGTATAACTAATCGGTGCATCTGCTAACAGTGTTTTTCCTGCCTTTGCACACTCGGCTAATTGTATCACGCTAGAGGTGCAGGGTTTTTTTTCTTTTTTTTTTGGCTATACGTCAGACACTCTTAAGCCCACCCAGTCGTGAGAAACATGAGAAAATTAAGCGAGGAATTAACAGAGAGAGAGAGAGAGAGAGAGAGAGAGAGAGAGAGAGAGAGAGAAAGAGAAAGAGAGAGAGAGAAAGAGAGAGAGGGGCGCGAAGGAGGAGAGAGGGGGTGGTATAGAGCTTGTTTGAGAGTTCAAAGTGATGCAATTATCAGAGCACTGAGTGTAATGAAAGTTTTGGAGCATTCAGTCTTTAATGTTCAATTCTGAATGCAGTCATGTGACCTGTGCACTTTCATTTATTCAATATACTGACTTAAATGAGGACTTACGGGGAGCTTATCATTAAACCACACTTCTTTTTTTAAAGAAAATGGAAAACTGTGTCGGCTAAAGCTCCACGCTGCTGCTGCTGTACCTGATCTGCTCTACCTGAGCAACACATAAGGAGAATTCATTTCCCCTGCAATACTACTCCCTGAAATTTTGCCAAAGGTTTTTTTTTAGCATCAAGTTCCAAAGTGAGGATAAGGGTGGACATTTTTCTCAGGGCCCTGCGATTCGACTGAATGTTTTTTTTTTTCCTTTGGTGGGACTTTTATCTGGCTCTGTTGCCTTGAGGCAGAACTTTCATTTTCATGTGAAGCACACTTGAAAGAAGTGGAGGAGTAAGTGAATACTCAAGGCTGCATCTGTTGAATTTCAAAAAAATCTACAACTACTCTGCCAGATAAAACATGTCATTGCTTTGCGGGCGCGTGAGTGACAGGGACAGGAGGTTTGCATGGAGTGTTCGCCGATGAAGCTCTGACAGTGGCAGGGATTGCGTTTGCTTTTGGAGTTTCGGATAGGGGGGGAAAAGAGTGGGGTGGTTGGGTTTTCGGGTCGTCAGAGGGGGAAGCCGTTCGCTTTTGACTCCTCATCAAACTCCAGTAAACAGCTGCAGGGGGAGTCTGTTCGCTCCCTCTCATCTTCACTGGTCTGTCTGAAGAGTGAAATCTTGGAGGGAAATGAAAGAATAAAGATAAAATATAGATAAAAAAGTATTTTTCAGATGCTACATTTTTCAACACCATTTCTGATTCATTTAACTCTTTGCCGAGCAAAAGTCGTTCGTTTGTGTCTCGTATCTTAACGTCTTAATTAATTGGCTGCTTGTTTCCCATAAATGCCTGATTTGCTTTTATCCCTTCAGAATTGCAAGAACTTAAGACGTTCTGCTAAACAGTTCTGACGTTAGCTTGACTACACCTGCATTGGTAACGCTCCGGTGCGCTGTTCTTCCTCAGGTGCTGGAGAGATTGTTCCAGAAGGGCTTCACCATGGTGGCATCGTGTGGAGGAGGAGTGGATTCGTCTCAGTTCAGCGAGTACATCCTGAGTCGCGAGGACAGACGTTGTCAGACCATCCACACTCCCATCCGGATAAAGCAGGAGCCGCTGGACTAGCGAGCCAAACAGCAACGAGAACCACCTCAAACAGACCCTCAATGAGAGACCAGCAGTGGACAAGGATAAAGACAGGAGTTTGGACCTCTCTGCTGGTTCAGTGGACTATTTAGGACTTTGTGAAGATGGAACTCTTTATCCAAATAATGAAAAATGTCAAGTCCCTAGACTGAATAAAGGGACGTCTTTAAAAGTCTTGGCTTGGAGGAAAAATTGCATTCTGTATATTTTGGTCTTCCACTCACTAGAGCACACTGTTACGGTATTCAGTCACGACCTCATTCGGCAACTGTGTTTAATGCAGAATTCATTTTTGCATACTAATCAGACCTCACCTTAGCAGCCCTTTCCAATCTGGAAATCTAATGGTCTCACGTTCGTTCCAGTCTCTTTCTGTAAATCAGATCCGTGTGGTTTCTCGCCGTCGTCTCGGTACGTGAAGGATGTGAGAACAGCGCTGAGAACAAAGGCATTTGATTGTGAGCGAGGAGCAGAGCAGGGCTGGCTGCCTGGACTGGCCGCAGGCGGCGTGGCCAGAGCGCTCGGGCTGCTAATGCATTCAGAGCCGCGGAGAGGGACTGGCTGTTAGAGCACGGCCGAGGGGAAACCTGCGCTTGTTTCGGGAGAGCTTTTCCGATGGCTTTTCCAATCCCCAAGAAAAGAACGAGCAAACGGACGGCGGTGGTTCAATTTGTTGGGGTGGCCAGTCTGCTTGGTCAGCAGCAGTACCCTTGTCAAGAACCACAATTAAATAGAAACATAAAAAGGACACAAAGTCACTGATTTGTAAACCTTGCTTGTCCAGGAAACCAAATCAAATGCCAGCGTTATTCATTTGGTTGTTGTGCCATTTTTTTTTTCCCTTTCCTTTTTTTTTTATCTATTTATTTTGTCAGAAACAATACAGATTAACCAGCAACACTGCCTGTCCAGCAAGACGACTATGAAAGTTAAATAAAGATCCGCCAGAGAAAACTAGCAGTGCCCTCTGCAGCCACACCGAATCTGTTTTGATGAAGGCAGCTTTAGGTAGGGGAAATGAGAGATTACTCAGATTAATGAATGCGAGACTGCCTTTACTGTACTGTCGGAGTCGCTGGCGGAGCTGGTCCTACCAGAGCAGAAGGGGGCTTAGTGTGCTCCTTGAGGCCCCATCAGGGCTGAGGCGGAAGGGCACGGGTCAGAGAGAAGCTAGCCTCCTCCCCACACTGCCCCAGGAGCTGAGGTCACTTTCCCACAATCCTTTTACTCAGCCGGACCCCCCAGCCAAACAGGCCCAGTCATAGGGAGGAGAACACACAGCCCATGAGCGGCCAGAGGAAACTCGAAAGGTTACTTAGGTGGCTGGAAAACAGCGAACGATGCTTAATGTGTTGTAAAAATGCACAGTTAATAGCCGGAGTATTCTTTAGGCTCTTCTCTGCATAACCTCATTACAGGGGCAAAGGTCCCAGAGATGCCACCATGCTCCACGAGATCACGCGGTGAGTGTTGTCTTAGTACGACAGTGCGAACATACTGAAACATTATTCTTCACGCTATCCACCAAATGCGATGCTATACCCTGTCTTGGCCCTTGCGCTGGGTGTTGTTCATGCTCAGTCAGGCCCTTTGGCATTTTTTTTTATTTCACCTATAAAGCAAGCCTTTACGCCAGCCAAGCAGTTGTGTTTTTGACCACAGCCTCAGAACTACACTGGGGGACCCCACTGAAACCACAAAGAAAGAAAACTTTTAATTTAAGTACTGTTCTAATGGATGTTGTCAAAATGTATAATTAAGTAAGGTGCAAATGTATATTATTTAAATAAAGTTCATTTCTTTTTTGTTAATGCATAACTATTGATAATCATTGTAGTATTGCAGGCATGTGTTCAATATCCTTTTGTAATTGGTGTTGATCAAATGGACTTTTAATAAATCATTGGCCTTTTTTTTTCCTAATTTCATTTCCAGAAAGCTGTATTTCTTGCAGTCGTTCTTCAGAAAGAAGCTGGTTCTATTTTAGCTCTAGAACGTGCGCCGGCTTACCATGCAAATGAGCCCTCGCCGAGTTCACTTCAGCTAGGTGAGACAACCAAGAACGGCAGCGCTGTGCGTGTGAGGGACGAAATGGAGGAAAACAACCTTCACAAACAGCCTCTGGAGCCGCCGGCTTACAATCAGAACCAGCTGCTGGTTGTAAGAGCACTGCAGGTGGCACTCATTTATTAAAAGTTGCTCTTCTAATCAAGACTCAGAAGTGTAGGAAGGAACTTTATTCTTTTACAAAATAGTACAAATTTCGAGGAGGTGAACACTTTTTTTTTAAACCAGCCAAACATTTAAAAATTGTTAAATTTACCAAAAAATATAGAGTTTATAATAGATAATGTGGTCTTTGTAGACAATACAACATAGAAATAATCAAAGACCTGACCATTGGATCAGAAACTCTTGGTTTGTCTGAGCGCTTTCATGTGCAGGTACATAGAAACCAACCTCGCAGCAGAGGACTAAGGTGGATTGTGGCTGTGACAATCTAGATCTGAGGAAATCTGCATACTGCTTATTGTTGTTTGCAGGCAAAGTGAAGTCCAGTCCAGACTCCCTTAAAGCTGTTGGGTCACTGGAGTCCTGTCCTGCTGGGCTGACTGAACTTTCAAATTTCCACATGATTCAAATTCAAAATCAGTCCACTTTGTTCTAAAAGGCCCTTTTACTGACATCTATTCCAATTTAAAATTCCAGTGCAAGACTCATTCAACCTTAAAGGGGAATTCCACCAAACCTTTCAAAATTTCATGATTGCATCATTCAGAGTGGTTTGATATGAAATGCGGCATTCTATAGAAGATTAGAACTGCTCACAGTGGTGGTGATAGGAACCAGACGTCCAAAGTGTTTAATATCTCAAGAAAAGTTATTACATGAAATGGTTATGAATGGGGTGCCGGATGCCTGAAACATTGCTTTACAATAGTTTTGAGAAAGTTTAATAGTTTTCAAAAACATGAGTAGAGATGTACATGTAGGGTGTTGTAAGGCAAAATAGTCCTTAGAAAACAGAATTTTCACTATTTTACCATCATAAACATTACATATAAACCTCAGAAGACTATTAGGTTCACCTGGGTTGGACAGTAAATAAAAAGGCTATATTAGTGATGTTTGTGACCCCTGGTTCCAATCACCACCACTGTAGTTTCTGTACAATTCATCAGTTCACATCAAACCTCTCTGAATGACTGTCTACATCTCAAAGACTGAATTATGTAGAGATGGGGGGAAAAAAAAAAAATAAAAAAAAAATCAGTGAATTTCCTTTGAAATCTTAGAAGTCTATGCTGTGATCATACTTGCCTACAGTTTATTGACGAGAAGCTGCTCTACATTTTCAGTGGAGCAGCCAGATGATTTCATGCGTCATCCTTTCGGATGAAATTATGGCAGCCTCATCGTTACAGATGGCATTGTGCCATTTTCCTCCACCGTAACTCTTCACAGCATGTAGCTAACACACACATACACACGCTCCACATCAGGAGTGTGAGAAAATACTGTCACTGAATTACAAAACTGCACCCCATACGATGAAGGACAGCAACATGGAGCTCCTTCATTTTGCATAATCTGAAACGAGATCAGTCCAAACCATCATTTGGAGGTATGAAAGTCATAAGTTATTAAAATATTTAATAATTTGTTAGACTGCTAAAAAAAAGGAAAAAAAAAAACAAACAAAAAAGCTATACATTCACACTTCCAGTGTCCATATTGCAAATGAGGCATTTAAGTTAAAACAGCTTCAAGTCCAATCTTACTTTATACCAACAAATCAGAGTCATCCTGGAACATTAAAAATCAAATCAGATTCAAAAAGAACACATAAAAACAGGTGAATGCTCTCCTCTATGCTGGCTCCTGTACCAGCATACTGCAGTAAAAGGTAACAACTGAACAGAAACGCTGCCCACAATCCTCTCCTCTCTCTCTTCATGGCTTTCTATCACTCACTTCCTGAATATGCGTGTTTGGAGCATTAATATCTAGTACATTCCTCTTTCAGCAAAGACAGGATCTCAGTGATTATGTCCTAGCTTTGCCTGAAGGCACAAAGAAAAACGCAGGAGGCGACGTGGGAAGCAGGCCGGGAGGAAACGGACCTGGCCGATCAAACGATAAAGAGGCGACTGAGAGTCTGGACAGGGCACTGGTCGGACCCTACAGAGAGGAAGAGGAGAGATGGGGGGGATGAAGCTGAGCCGCTGCGCTGGACCAGTCCTATTTGAGCAGAGCTTTGTAGAGCAGCAGCGAGCGGGCTGTGGAGCGCTCCTGCTCCAGGCAGAAGATCAAGTCCCTGAGGTTAACCCGCGTGATCCGCTGCCGGACCTGTCGTGTGGAGGAGGAAGAGGAGGAAGAGGCCGCTGAGCCCAAAGAGCCTCCAGACACCTGTAAGATAATGTGACACACATTAGAATCCAAAATGCATTCAAACTTCTTCACCCACCCTGATTTTTATGACCGTCTGTATAGTTGTAGGCAGTTCCAACTATATAAAAAAAGAATTTTGCTGCATCACAACACAGCTGTTATATTCTACTATAACATAATGAGACTACATATGGCTACAATGACAGAGATAACAGCTCCTACTGAGTGGGGAGCTGGAGAACCTCTCCCCTTAGTTTACTAAGAAACTGAAATGGTGCACATCTATGGAAATGACGCTGTCAACTTACATCAGCAATGAAGTAAAGACAGTAATGGCACATATGTAACCATTTAAATGTTCGGAATCAATCATTCATATTTTATATTTGTAACTATTTTATTCATTGATAACTTACAGTGTGGACTTAAATACTACAAGCTACAAGAGTATGTTAATTTTTTTTTATTTAATATTTTGAGTTTTTTAGTTCCAATCTGCATCTAACCTTCTGTCCTGTAGCCCCCCGCTCCATCTGATTGAGCCAATCAAAGAATTAGCTGGAGCAGGTGTGGCAGAGAATGGGTGGACCTGGACTCTACAGGAAGGTAGACTTCCTGGACCAGAGTTGGTGACCACTGGTTTACAGCTCTGTTCATAAATCTGGATGCTAAAGAGATAGCAATAAGCTAAATATATGCAAAATCATCATCAATATGATACGTTCTATATCCCAAACCCAAACCCCTAAAATTTCAACCCACTGTTAGATTAGATCCCAC